TTAAAAATGCAGGTTTCCTTAGTGTCTTGTATCGTACAGATTCCTTCTTTTGCGGTGATGGATGTGAATTGTGAACATTGCTGCGTTTCATGTGCTTGTAGCAATATCAAGACTGTACATGTCAGGAGCCTGCGGTTAGTGTTTCGTTTCCGTTTGCTGATGTACTTGCGCGGAAGAATGTTTTTCGGCTTTTCCTTTACAGAGTGTACATAAGCTGTTCAGCAGTTTTCTCCAAATCCTACATGAGAATATGAGTAGGTAGTAGGTTACTTTCATGACACAGCAAGGAAGGGTGCTGATATTGTGACCATGGCTATGAAAACAACGATATAACTCCATTTAGGATAACTCCAGCATTGTGAGTTGTGTATCCATTCCCAACAGGCCGTGCATTGTATGGTTTCGCATATTGGAGAGACTTTGCACGTTATATTGGTTTCAAAAATTCTTTGGCCTTTGTGGAACGCTTGCACTTTTGCCGTATAGTCATATGTGACTAAGGAATTCGGAAAGAGAATACGTTGGAATGTATTTACGGTGGAAATTGCGCAGTAGTTTGCGATGCACACTTCAATTGCTTCGATTTGTTTTTCGCTGATCACTGAAGTTCCTCCTTGAGAACATTCCACTTCTAATGGAGTTTGCGTGGTTGAAGGGGCTTTTGCATGTCCATAGTAAGTTTTTGTAATTGTTCCCCATGCCTTCAATATGATCGGCGTCGTGGTGTGTAATGAATCATTCACGACAAGCGTTGCGAGAGGGTTGTCGTATATGCAAAATAGTCGTGCCTTTTCTTCGCAGTGATGTTTCTTGCAGAATGTTGAAGTTCCTGAAAAAGCGTTTGTTGGATCTCTTCTCCATCCTTTGCGGTCCACGCATATGAAATCGTCTTCGTCAATATAATCTTGAATGTTGATATCGAGATGCTCAACTAATATCGTAGTGTTGTCGAATAATTGCACTTGATTGAAAGTGCCGATGCGTAGTGTTTAGTCGCATGTTGAGGATGGTTCAAAAAGCATACATGTGATGGTTGGTAGTGCGAGAGAGCGGAAGGGAAAGAGGCGAAGTTGGACATTTCTTTTCGGTAACTGTTGGTGTAGGAGCATGACGATGATCATTGCGGGCACTCACATTTTCTTCCACACAGTGATGTACTTGTTTCTAATGGATGTTGAAAATGTATTGCTCCGTGTGGGCAGTAGATGGGGAACCAGCACAGCTTTTCCTTATTTTCTATTCGTACTTTTGCGACTGCAACTCCTTTTCGTGCGCAGTGAGTTGCGTAGAGTACTGTTTTCTCCGTGTTTATTTCGTCGGGACAGCGCGTATCGATGGTATTGACGAAATGGATGCTGGAGAGCAAAGTTACACATAGTAATACATTTGCTGCTCGTTGTCTGGCTTTTGATCTCGTCACCATTTGATGATGGGATGGAGCAGGGTTTGTTGAAGGAGGTTCCGTTTGAGGTGGTTTTGCGGATTCGATTTCCAGTTTGTAAATCATATTGTTAGGCCTTGTTATTATTCGTTTAGATGGTAGTCGTATTTGTACTGATCGTTTAAAATCATCACGTGATCCAATGATTTGGCCAGTTTTCCATTGTCCTCTATCCAAATTTGCGTCTTCAATGATTACGTAATCGCCGTTGTTGGGTTGATTGTGTTCGTGTGATCTTGGTTGTTCGTGTTTCGTTTTGTATCGCTCGCGAAAAGAAGTAAGGTATTCAGAGTTCCATCGTTTCCAGAATCTGGTGAGCATTTCTGAGGTGATTCCCCATTGCGACAATAGTGTTTCTCGTGTTGTTGTGATTGGGGTCCATTCGTCTGATGTCTCTTCTGGATAGGATCCAGCTAGTTTTGCGTATGGGTGAAGGAAGTCGATTGGTCGGATTGGTCGTAGGGGAAGATAGTCTTGATCATCAGTGATGTACGTTAATGGTCGAGTGTTCACGATAGCTTGTGCTTCTTTTAAGAGGGTTATGATCTCTTCAATATCTAGCAAGTTGTTTCCAATTGCATGTTTAAAGGATTTCTTGAAAATGTCTATCATTTTTTCATAGACACCACCCTGCCAAGGGCTCAAGCTTGGTATGAATTTCATCTTTATCCTTTTTTGAGCGCAGTAATCCAGGACATCTTCATCATTGTTAGCTTGATCGGACAGTGATGAGTAACATTCAGCAATCGATTTGAATGATTGAGCATTGTCGCACACTGTCCAAGTTGGGCATCCATTGGCGGCGATGAAACGTCGTAATGTGTGTAGTATCGTGCGGGTTGTCATGTCAAGGATGACATCGACATGAACTGCGCGTGTATATAGGCAGGTAAACAGAAGTCCCCAAAATTTTTCTATCATCTTATCCTTTGTCCGATAAGAGAGCGGACCGAAAATGTCCATTCCGACATTTTCAAAAGGATAATGTGGTCTCACCACTCTTTCTTTAGGTAGCATAGGAAATGGTGGAAGTACAAAAGGTTTGGCACGGTATTTCTTGCAGTGAAAGCAATCATTGGAGATTACTTTCTTGACTGCTGAGGCCCTTTGGGAATCCATACAGTCTGCCCCAATCCTAACCAGGCCAAAATTGGCATGGCGGGAGTCCGCGTCGCTAGGCTTTCGCGGTCATGCCCGCGGCCTGCTTCTCTGTTCTCTCTTCAATGTTCTCGCTCTCTACGACAGCGCGCCTATGCAGCGCAGACCGCTAGCGCTGCGAGCGCGCAAATTCACGCCGACGTTTCGGCCTGATCCCAATTGGAGCAGACTGTACTTTTTGTCGTAGTTCCGTTAGAGTATGGTTAACTCCGCAATGGTTATTGATTGTATGCGTGTGAACGATGAAGAGCGCGGTGATTCTGTTTTTGGTAGGAAGAAATGTTGGCGTAATGGTCTCCTCTGCCAAAAGAGCATTTTCAATACGTCCTTTTGATCTCCATAAGGACGTCATCTTACACCTAAACAGGTGTAATTGTTTCATATGATCGCCCGATGGTGGATCTTGATTTTGGGCGAGACGAAATAGAATGATTTCCGCTCTGTTATGAAGTACTGCTCCAGACGTCCCAAAGTGTTTTGCTGCTTTTCTCGATTTCAATACAAGAAAGCGTAGAACGAAGACGACTGTTAGTCGTGATGAATTCCAAGTGCTGAATCTGGATGTTTTGACAAATGACGGTGAACTTTTCGTCTTCTCTGCTGTTGTGAGTTGTGCAATGTTGGTTGGTAGTGACACCAGAGGGGTCTGGGTCTCTGATGTTTTGAGTTGATGTTGTTCTGGTAAAGGAGTGGTTTCCTTTAGCAATTCTTCAGGGGATGGGAACCAATCTGATTTATCTTAAGTGAGGATTTCTGGGCCATGCCACCACAGTGCTGATTGTAACAGTTCGGTTATAGTGGCTCCCCGAGAAGCTATATCTGCCGGGTTCCATTCTGTGGGAATGTATTTCAGTGTGACGTCTGAGGTTAGTTCTTGAATGATTTTGGTTCTGTTCCGTACAAAAAAGGGAGTTGTTTCCGGCTTTGTGCCCAATTGAGAGCAATCGTGCTGTCGGACCATAAGAATTTCTCGCGTATGTGGATGTCCAACTGCTTTGCAACAAAGTTGAGTAGTTTAGCTCCTATGACAAGGGCGGATAGTTCCAGTCGTGGTATGGTAACCGACTGACGCAGAGGAGCTAGGCGCGACTTTGATATGATGAAAGATACTTTGTGTGGAGGCTTCGCGAAGATTTGAACAAGATACGCTGATGCACAAAAGGCGTTTTTTGAAGCGTCGGTGAATACATGAAGATCGAACTGCATGGTTGAATTGTCACAATTTTCGAGTAGTCTGCGTTTCAGCTTCAATGTAGGTGATGTCCATTGACCAGTAAGTTCTTTCCATTCATCAACCTTTTCTCCTGGTAATGGATGGTCCCATTTGAGTTCGATTTTCCAGAGAGACTGGAGGAATAGTTTTCCGAGGAGTGTGACAGGAGTGATGAAACCTAGGGGGTCGTAGATGCTGGCTATTTCTTTCAGGATTTTTCTTTTGGTCCAGGTGATTCCTTCTGCAGGCCTTTGGGGGAGAGTGATGAATATTTCATCGGTGGAAATATCCCAGTGGATTCCAAGGAGTTTTTGTACTGCTGCGATTTGGTTTTTTTCTTTGGTTATGAAGAACTCGTTGAGTGCAGAAGAGTTACTGACGTATGTTCGTAGATTCATTCCTGCTTGAACGAAAAGTTTTCTGGAGTCGTTGTAGTAAGTCATACCTTCTTCGATGCTTGTGACTCCGTGGAATACGTTATCTACGTATGTGTTTCTTAGGAGGTCTTGCGATAGAGGAGTTGACACTGCAGTTAGATGATGGTGAATGGTGCCAGAAAGAAGGAATGGAGAACAAATGAGGCCGAACAAGACTCGCGTAAATCTATAAGTGATTACATTCTCAGACGAGAATGGTTTGGACACATCTTGTAGCCATAAGAAGCTAGTATAATCTCTGCAATCGGGATGAAGGCCTACCATTAGGAATGCTTTTTCAACGTTGCTGGTGATCAAAATCTTCGGAAACCGGCAGCGAATCAGGATACCTGTTAGGTCTGGAAGTAGTACGGGTCCTCGGTACAGAATCTCGTTTATGCTTGGACTTCCCTTCAGTTTTGGTGATCCGTCAAATACACAGCGAATTTTCAATTTGTCGCTCGTTCGTTTGATTACGCCGTGGTATGAAAGGTAATGGGAATGCTTCGGCGAATCCATTTTTGGGACGTTTTCAATGCCTCGTTCGAGTTGCTCCTTGAAGATCTTGTTATATTCCTCCATATAGCCTGGATTTTTGCTCAAGCATTTGACTAAGCTGCTCAATCTGGAGTATGCTATGGTGTAGTTATCCGGTAGTGTAGATGGATCGGATTTGAACGGAAGTTTGACAATGTATCGTTGTTCCTTTGAATCGAAAGAGACTGTATCATTGAAATATCTTAGGCATATGTCATCGTCTTTCTGCGTAGGATCATCTGTAATGCCTATTGACTCCAGATTCCAAAATTTGCTGACAAGTTTCGTGAGCTGTCGTGATGGATAGGATTGGAAATATCGTTACGAGCGCAAAGACTTGTGCATCTATCGGAGTCTTTAAATTCAGCAGCTTGCCTGTGAGGATGTTGCCCAGATTGGTGTGAAGTAGGCGGCATCCGGAGGTCAGGATTTTCACGTAGAAGTCATCTGACAGGATCATTTCCCAAAAGTAATCACTGCCGATGAGAAGTGATGGCTTGCAATCTGAAATCACAAACTCTGTGGTTTGGATACCTTGAGCATGCTGGATCTGTGCGAAGCTTCCTGTGATTGTCGGCAGAGACTTCACTTCAAGTACTTTTTCTCCTTGGTTGGTACTGATGCCGATTTTGTGGTTTCTTGACCTCAGTCGAAGGAGGTTTTTGCTTCCGAATTTAGAAACGGAGATCGTCTCGGTTGAAAGCGTAGGTAGTTGTAAAATCTCCACTATATCATCGGTGATATAGGAATGACTTGAGCCGGAGTCGAGAAATGTTGTTGTTTGTTCTCGAAGAGAAGCATTTGATGGATTGTAGAGGTTGACGGTAGCACACATGAGCGCCACTCTGGGTTTGGGCTGTTGATCTGGAGGCGATGTGGAGCTGCATGTGATTGTTGTTGGGGTCGTATTTTCACTGCTCTCTAGCACAGGAGTAGATGTGGGGGGGGGGGTTCTTCAACAGTGACATTTGCGCAATGTTGCCGCTCAGGATACGTTCGTGGTTTATGCAGCTTGTCATTTCGGCGATTCCTCGTGTCTGTTTGTGGTCGTTGTTGAAGTTGTTGTTGAGGCTGAGAAAAGCACATGGATGTGTGATGACATTGTTTGCAGTATTTGCAGCTTCGTTTCGATGTGCATTCCTTTGTTGAATGATATTTGGATAGGCAATTGTAACACAGGCGTTGTTCTTTTGCTCGGCGATTGCGTTGGTAAGGAGTCGGGAATACGTCGCAGGAGACTGCGGAGTGGTTGACTTGCTCGCAGTAAGGGCATGGTTTCATTTGCTGTTGTGTGAGAGATCTTTTTGTGTTTTTCTGGTATTTAGAAGTGGCGTTGAAGCTGACGTACGGGCTTTGTTCCGTGTTGGACGTTTTGCTATGAAAGTTCATCTCGTATAGGGTGGTATCCTTACGTACGATGTCGGTGAGCAGATGGAGAAGTTTGGTTGGGGAAAGGTTGTGATCATTCGCTGTTTTGTCGTAGATTCTGCTTCGAACGCGGGCTGGTAATTTGTTCAGTAGTATGGCACCAAGTGCTGTTTCTTGAGAATCATCATTGTTGACGGAAAATTGTCGTATCAGCGCAAACATACGATTGTAGAGTGTTAGGAGGTTTCGGCCTTCGAGATCGCAATTTGGGAGTTGGGCAAGCTTCGTGTAGAGGATATGTCTCATTGTGACCTTGTCGTCAAAGTGTGTTTTCAAAATGTCCATTGCGATTCTATAGTTCTCTGAAGTCATAGATAAGCCTTGAATGGTTTGTAAAGCGCGACCGCGCAAACATGACTTGAGGAGTGAAAATTTCGTGGTATCATCTAGCTGGGTTTTGTCTCCGACGAGGGTGGCAAATCTTGACGCAAATTCTGGATATTCTAAAAGATTGCCGTCAAATGTGGGCAGCTCTAGCTTACTCAAAATGGACGCATCGACAAAATTCATCAAAGAAGCGTTCGTCGCGAGACTATTAGTCATGAGGGGATTGACTGTGGAAGAGTTGACCATGAAAGGCTGGGACGCGGATGGTATTTGAGTGTTGGTCATCAAAATGCTTCGTGGTGGTTGAGTACGGTCTTCATCTTGAGTATTGGTCTCAGAAGATGCGGAGGAGATCGAGAGACGTCGTTGAGAATATTCTTGGTCAATGGAGTTCAAAAGTGTGTCCATATTTTCTAGTTGTTTGACGGCTTCTTCAATGATGATACGATAATCACCACATTTCTCGAGATAATCGTCAAAAATTTGTTGCTCGCTTGGATTCGATTGTAGAAGGAGAGTCCATTTACTATGCAATTTTGTGAGTTTGGATTAGGACTTAAGTAGATTGGAGCGAGCGGAAGTGATTTCGAGGCGTAGAGTTTCGAGTTCATCATCATCTAGTTTTTGAAAGTTTGGTGTGGTGATAAGGATATCGTATTCTGTGAGAGAAAGCTGCTGAGAAAAGCCGTTGGATTTGTTTCTTAAAAAAGCCGATTGGACGCCTTATGCGGGCACTATCATTCGTCGACATCGTTGCTCAGTATGGATAGGATCAAGGCTTATTCAACGTACTTTTTCGTCCTGAAGTGAAGATGTGGGAGGTCCTCGGCTGCCGTGGTCGCCACTTGTTTGGGCTTTCAAAGGACTTGGACGAAGCTTTATTGGCTGATGAGCTGATAGGCAAAGCGTATACAGAACCACGAGCATTTATACAGAGTTTGACTTTATAACCTCTACATAGATAGCAGTCTTTCCATATGTTTGGGTGAGTGTGTCAACAATGCTTTGTCGCGGCTTTGATTGACTAAGACAATTATGATAAAATTCCAAACATTAGTCATTGCTGTATTCTATAAGGTCTACTCTATCGAATCGTTACTTGAACTCCTTCTGAGGATTGATACGAAAGTTTTAAAAAATCGTGAAACTTGACCATCTCAAAAAGCATGGGTCGCAGATTTTGGTTATTTTCTGAGAGCTCATTGACTGTCAGTTTCATAACCCTTAGAAAGAGAATGAAATGCTGCATCGAATGCTTCCAAGATCTCTTAGAAATCTTTGTTCCATCAAATGTGGCGCCCGTTTGAAAAAAGCGAAATTACTTTCGGAATGACTTAATATAATATGAAAAGGTAGAATGGCATAGTAGTCAAGGAGCTTTCTTTTAGTATGAGAAAGACGGCTACGCTACAGAAAATCCTAGATGATGTCAGTGAGTCTAAGAATCTGTATGTGTCACATGAAAAAGTGAAATAAAACTCGATGCCGGACCACTTAGGTAAAATTTTCTCAAGCATATGAAGTCTGAGGCCTCGAGCATACCATGCGCTTCATATGACAATTTGTCAGAAGTGCTCAGATGGGAAACTTGCAGACTGCAAATGCATGGCATGTATAACCTTCGCATATTGACAATACGCCCTATATTTTGTGCATTCAAATTCCGCTGATTAGTTACGGACAATCGGAGTACTACCAAATAGCATCGCGACTGAAGTCGCGTGAAGTATGCACGGGATTTGATACGCGTGGTTATGAAAACCCCTTAATGCTTACAAAACAAATTATAGCTTGTTATAGCTTGCTTTAAGCGCCTTGGGCCCTTATGCATACATCCCGCTGGGAAGGAGAGGGGATTTGAGAAGGGACGCGTCATACTTTGTTTCTCTAGATATCTGTACTCTTTTTTCTGTCTGTTTTGCAGAATCATATGACCTGATATTTGCGCACGATGAATGGCATGTTACGGCGGCCATAAAAGCTGGGATTTCCATTGTTTCGTGTCATCCTGTGGGGATCCCCAGGGGATCATCCCTTGCTTCAGAGCCCTCTAATTTCTAGAAAGCGGCGAAAACTTTCGTAAGGTTGTACTGAGGATCCGTACTATGGCACTGTTAGTTACGTTCTCGACATAACGAATGGACTGTGCAGGTGGCGTTTATTTTTCGATGAACCTCAGATCGCAAACAGTGGTTCATCGAAAAGGTCGCTATCTTAAGAATTTACTAGTTTCTACTATAAACACATTTAGCAGTGTCATAGTACATCCTCAGCACAAATTCGCTGGATTTTAATCGAGTTTGTAGGCAGATAAATGACGTGTTCCACTGCTCGACGAGGCAAGGTGTGAATATACAATACCACCCGTAATTTGTGAAAAAAATGGCGGCGGCACTTAACGCACGCGGCGCCGCCGCAGTTAAGAAACGCCGCGTCGCGCGACAAAAGTCGGCGGAAAAGCGGCATTTGCCGCCTAACTTTGCCGCGCAATGCCTAACTTTTTTATAAAAAAGACCTTATCTTGATCCAAAATTTAAGAATTCTATATATAAGAGTACCATTCAACTCAGCTCGGCGAGGCGCATCTTCCAGTATGCAGATGTGCCTAGTTGTGGGATATAAGTTTTATTTCCTGGATTTTTAGTGTAAATGGATCATTCAGTGTGCTGATTCCAGAGGCTACATCCACATTCTGTTGAGCACTGCAGAAATAGGGCAGGTATAGTTTGAGAGCTCATTCTGCATAGCAGTGGCGTACCCAGGATTTCGGCTCGGGGGGGGCGCGACAAAAATTTTTTTCTAAAGAAGGTGCGTGGCGTTAGCCACGCACTCCGAAAATTTTTTTGGGGTGCTTCTCAAAGCTTTTGCAAGTCCCTGACCCCTAGAATCTAGAAAAAGGGGGCGTGGCGTCAGCCACGCCCCCGAAAAAAATTTTTTTACAAAGCTAATTTGAATTTTTAAAAATTTTTGAAAATTATTTTAATTATTTACAAAAATAAACAAGTCACTTGCACATTTTTATAACCCACATAGGTAACTTTCAAAAATTTCGCGACCCATTCTCGGGGGGGGGGCAGTACTCTGCGTTGATACCACTGCTT